ATGTAATTTCCTGGTCACAGTCACCCAAAGGGCTGGTTTTCAGTGGTGTGGGTGCACCACTGGAGCTGCTCTAACTTTGGAGGGAACAACTGCCTCTAAAGTGCTGTCTTGCTCTGTTCTGTTTCAGTCTCTCACGCCTCAGGAACGAGCGGTTTATAAGGAGTTCACTTCCACGGTGAGTACTGATTCATTGACTGCACGTCTGTGCATTTTATTCTTATATGCGCACAAGCATGTTTGCGAGTATTGTGTTGTTCTTAATTTCAACATGGTTCTTCCTGCATTTCTCAGTGACACAGTGCTGGGTAAATTGATTGAGAGGTTATGTGGGGAAACAGAAAAGGTAAATGATGGAATAATGTCTTGTGGTGGCATGAGCAATGCATTATCTACTATTTGTAAATGCATTTAAATTAATATTGTAAACATAATAATGATGACCATGACCTGTAGTACAAAATATATTTTCCTATATAGGTGGGCTAAATTAAATTTCATCCCTCACTCTGGAGAGCAACAGTCAATTCCATCCGAGTTTTTAATTAAACTGAACCAGTTCTTGCTTAGTGACATAACTTTGTAACATAGTGTATAGGTCTCTGGGCTCAGATCTGCTGTAGACAGTACAGTTGTACCTTGAGTGAGGTACTGTATCACAGTTGTTCCACCAAGCTATGGGGACTAGCAATCCTGGGAGATAATCCCTGGACCGGCGTCCTGTCCAGGAGGGGAGTCACATTCTTTCTCATCTGTTTCCCACCACAGAAACCAGGAAAGGCTCCGGCCCAGTGAGCAGATATAGATACAGATACAGATATAGATACTTCCTAAAACTTGCTGTTGAACCACCATCGCTAGTTTTATCTGGCATCGTAAATGACTCCAATGCAAGAGAGGCTGTGAAATTGCAGAATGAATACTTGTTCTATTGGTTTACATTTTGCTTTGCTAATTGTAAAAGAGGTTAAACACTTGTGAAAGATGCTTCACTGTAAATATATTTACCTTTGCTTTCTGTATTTCGAAGTCATCAGAGAAAGAGCTGAAGGACTTAAACCCGATAGCTTTACTTTGTGTATTTTTGCACAGGATGCTACTCTGAATATTTATTATATAAAAATTGAGGAAATGTGTTAAATTTGAAACGCAGGTTTAAACTCATTTAAAAACATGTTTTGGGAAAATGAAACATTAGTTTTTTAATGCGGTTACCTTGTAATATTTTAAAGAACAGCGACATCTGTTGGTGAATTGAAGAATTTCTGGTTTCTTGCTGTTGGAATCAAATCTCTGAACAGGATTATGTTCAGGGATTTGTTAGGTGATGTCTTACATGAATAGAGTCATGTTCTACAGGTACCTCATGGGTACTGTTTTATCTGTCTGTGGTAATATTTAGCAGTGTTCGTTATATTTATAGCATGTGTTCATTTGTTTAATGATGTTTTCCCTTTAAGTTCGTACTATGTCGAGTGAAATGCATGGATCTGTCTGTAGAAGAAGAAGCCATGAAACAGTTGTAGGTGTGGTGGCAGTTCCTGGTTTTGCCCAGACTTTTAACATACTGCTGGACTTTCAGGAAGCATAGAGTTGTTCAATTAGCTTTTTTACATTATTTTGATGCAAAAGAGTGTAATGAAGGTACTTGAATGCTGAAGCCTGCGGGCTTGTTTGCGTCGCAACACCCCGCTAACCCGAAGGGCTGGGGGGGCTCGCCGGGACCAGGTTCTCTTCTCTAACTCTGCCCCCTCTTCCCTCGGTTTCCCTGCAGAAACGGCGCAGCTCATCCAAAGCGGGAGGCCCGGGGGCGAAGGTGCGCGTGCCGGGGAAGGGGAAGGCGGTAGGTGCCAGTGCCAGAGGACTGGGGGCCGGGGGGGGCAGGAGAGCGCTGGCGTACAGGTCACAGGTAACGCCCGCTCGCGTCGCCGGGGGGGACTTGGGAATGTGTGTGTGTGGGGGTGAGTGAGGGGGGGGGTTTCCAGCTCTCCCCCAGCGCTGGCTGTGGGGGGCATTCTGTGAGCTTTGTTCCTGTATAATTTTGGAGAGAACACGTTTCTCACACAATAGCAGTCTTATCTATTTTACATGTCTTACGTGATTTAAGTATTCCCTTTTATACTTTGTGTACCTAATAAAGAGGAACAGGCTGGTGTGTTTGCCCGGGCGTTCTGGGTGAATAGAACTAGGCTCGGACTGTCTGGCGCTGAAGTGGGACTTTCGGTGCTTAATGACGGCCTCGTGTCACTTAGACGGACGCTTCTCATCAGTGTATCTAAAGCCCTTTGGGATCCTTTGGGCTGAAAAGTGCTATGTAAATGGAAGGATTTATTTTCTAAGTTGAAGTGTACACCCTGCCAACGCCTCCTGAGCATTACAAGATAAAAAATACCATTGCTGATCATTGTGGGTCCTATTCTTATTCCTGCATCTCTGCATTGTGTGGACAACATGAGAAAATATGCCCACAAAGAGGGTAACCCCACAAAGTGGGATACCCCACAATTCTAATAAAAGTCTTTTTTATCAAACATTTTTTAATTTAAATCTGCCACGTCCATTTTCACATAATGTCAAACTTCTTTTCAGTGGAATATGGAATAAAAGTCAAAGAGAAAGACAGGAATATGTGAGCATGTATGAGAGTGTGTTCTGAATGTGTCATGTATAAATACGTACAGTAATACCCCCTATATGTTGATTCTTTATCTTTTGATTTGCAAATGTATCGCTTCTGTAGTATACTGAACCAAGATTTGGTTTCCACCACCCAAAGATTTGCAAATTCTTCTGACCAAATCGTAAGGCAGAATTTGGCACAGATGACAAACACATGGAAGTGCTTTTACCTGTTTTTAGTGCATTAAGAGTTTTGCATGAAGCAATGGTGGAAAGTGTCAGTTTGCACCTGCACTGCACAGATAACTCTGTGAACGTGTAGACTGTATTCGGGTCGCGGAAACCCCCCTTTTTACATCAGTCTTGGAGGGGAAAATTGATTTGTTATGTGGTGTTTACATGTTGCACTTCTCTAGAAGGTACACCAGGATACAATTGTATATGAGTAAGATGTCTGAATCCATAGCCAGTGACTTGTCTGCGTGTGAGAGCATGGGGGAGATAACCAAGGCTGTCTCCACCAGGAAACTTCAGACTCGGAGGAAGAGGAGAAGACTGACTCCTCTGACTCAGAAGAGGAGGAGGAAACGTCCGGCAGCTCAGAGAGCGAAGAGGATGAAGAGGAGGTAAGAGAGTGGTGATGCTGTGACTTGAGAATCACTTTCAGATTGTAGCATAGTAAGCGACAGAAGAAAGCAGTTCTACATTCTTTGTATCAAATCCTTAAAATCACATAGTCGTATGTTACTAGTGTTGTTTTAAAAGGAGTTGTCATATGTATGTCGTGATCAGACATCCATTGCTGTAAAAAAATAATATTTATAAAACATTGAGCTAAGTCAAAACTGTAACATCAGTGCTACAGGCTTTAAGTTTCGTTTAAAAATTTCTTGTTTTCCCTAATTACCCCTTAAAGATACAGATCGATTTAAAACCTAAGAGCAGCTATTCAATCTCAGTGTTGTAGCTTTTTAACATTTGTCATTTCAATGAATGTAGTGTGCCCCAGATGAAACGTTAAGGATAACGGGTCAATGCCACTGATATGGCAGGAGCAGAGAGATTAGGAAATGAGAGCATTCTGTGAAACTGGAAGTGACACTAGCCAGTCATGTGCTGTGTACATTACAAATACAATCCAGTCCACAGGAAGTCTTAGAAACACCAGGAGAAAAGGACTCACTCCTGCTGTTTTCAACATGTGACAGAACTCACATGTCCTAAGTCCTAAGTCTTCGTGGTGCACAGATGAGTTAGATCAAGCTGTACCAAAGGCCGGGTTTCATTTATAATTTTGAATGTTAGAAATTTTAACTTGGTGCATAAGAGGTCCATTAGACGTCCAGGATTTCAGACCAGCTAGCATCGTATTGTTACATTTAAAATCACCACTGTTTTTACAACTTATATGAGTCCTAGATTAACAATGTTTTATTAAGGACCAATAACCAACAATTTACTGTATAATTTCTTTTAAAAAATGAAATTGGTGTCCTCCTGGCTTAGGAATCCTGTTTAGCAGCGTGGTCCTGGGTGGGTCACATTTGCTTAACCACTTCCTCTCCCGGTTCCAGAATGAAGAAGATGAGGATGACGATGAGGATGAGGACGATGATGAAGATGAAGATGATCAATCAGAGGCAACCAGCAGCTCTTCCACAGAAGAGAGCAGCGATTCGGACTCTGACTAGTTCCACCCACAGTGGAGGGAGGCTGTGCAGGACACGCCCAAACCCCTCCTCTCCGTGGAGACAGCGCAAGCCTGATGGGAGGTGGCGGCACTGCCCACTGGACTGGCTACAGACTGAGGATTGGGGTCATGACCCCAGGGACTTTTGTTCTGGATTGACTCCCTTTACGGAGCTGTGTTACATGTGTTTTTTTAATTACCTTTCTTATAGGTGTTTCTGAATTGTTGCGCGTTCCCTTTTTTATTACAAAAACATAAAGAGATGAAGCGTTCTAGTTTCCTGTTCTCGCATTTTTGTTTTAGCCATATGTATTTGTTGGAGGGGGGAGGGGGGGGGCTTACAGAATAAACCTCTCAATTCCCTTTTCAGGGCTGTTCTTATTAACATTACAGAGCTATTTCTATGTACTTGTAACATTGTTAGCAAAATGACTGCAGGAGTGACTAGAAGAGAAATCTCACCATTTTCAAAACAGCGCTATCTGATTTTGAAGTAAGGTTCCCCAGTGAGGGGCATGATAAGATGCTCATTTCTCAGTGTGTTCCAAAACCATACCTGTAAGTGGACACATGATGAACACTTGACAAATGATAGAGGAATGTATGCGGATTGTTTTTGTTCTGTACACATTTAAAAGGTATTTATGTGGCATCTGCATCCATTTACTTTTCACCTGTTTTCTAGTGTCCATTTTACTGTTTTCTGAAGTACTCCCCTGGGCTAACTTAGTCCTCGTAAGCCTAGATTCAGTTCTTTTGTGAGAGAAGGGCCATGAAGGTTACTGATCAGTCTTCAGGCACAACTTGAGATGTGTTCCATTTATTTAATCTCTTTGAAATGGGAAGGTACTCATGAAATAAGCAGAACCTGTGCTAAGAGTAAGTTTTACAGGAGAGACCAGGTTTTCTTCATTTCATCAGTTTATATAGCACTTTACATGTACATTTAAGAGACTGCTTCCAAGATAGGTAAAATTTAGTAAATTAGTTTACCCTTTAAGAGAACACAAGGTGAGCTCATCAGTGGAAGGCCTTCGAAACTTCAGGGGTTCAGAGAGGTTCATATACTGTACTAGACCCTCCTAAAACCATACCTCTGTGTTCCTGCTGAGCTCAGTTCTGTTTAGTTCTCAGTTCTAACTGTGCCAGGCTATAAAGCAGTATTTAACTTTTTATTTGGCTGAATTAGCAGCTTTTTAATAATGGAGACAATTTTGAAAAGCTCTAAGGCAAATCAACCGTGGCAGCAAGATAAGAGTGCTTTGGCCTCAGTCACAAGTTTGTGTGCCCTTGCAAATGCTATTGCTGTTGCAGAAGTCAGAAAGTTAGATTTTATTACTTTCTCATAAATTGTTCAAACAGTTAATGTTTTTGAGTTTAATAATAAATATAATGCTTCATAGAGATCTGAAAATGATCAAACTAGATGCACAAAAATGTTTGGATGAATTGTTGAGCTCATTAAGTACAATTAGTTATTAACAAAACCAAGCTAAACTACAGCATTTGCTTGAGGATAATTTATAAATGGTGAATTTGTTACAGTGACAGCTGACAGTAACTGGAAAGATGTCACCTGTACTGGTACCATGTCTGCTGCTGGGTATAGTGTTCACCCGGGTCTCTTCCTTTTTTGATTCCACCTGAGTGCTGTGATCTAAATGCCTTCAAGTGATACATGTTACAGTTTGTGAATTTTCATCATTTACAACTGTTTGATGAAAATTTAAAACCTGTAAAAAAACCACTGTAGGACTGAATGTGTGCTCTACAAGATCTGGAGCAGGGACAACAAGAAAGATATGTCTTTTAAGAATCCATCCTAGAGTACTGATACTTCTGGAGGCCTTCAGGCCAGTGGGGCTGCAGAGAACAGAAATTTCTCAGTGGGAAACAGGCCGCTAAGAGCCCAGGTATAAAAAAAGCCAGAAGACCTGTAGGAAAAACACTGTCGCTGCTTAAGAAGTTACAAATGAGAATTGCTATAATGATGAAAATGCTTAGGCAAAAATCATACAGCTTTCCTCATTTCTGCCCATAAGAACATTGTAAGATTACTGCAGTTTGGGATATATGACATGTAGAGACAGGGAAATGGGAAATAAGGTACAGTAGGACATATAGACTAGGGGCCTGTCCTGGATCCAAGGAATGTAGCTGCCCTTCATTTCCAAACAGGGTTGGGTAACACTGGAGACATACCTGCCAATTCAGCTTAACCAATGACATTAGATTTTTCGCACTCTATCTGGTAATTTTTTAGTTTTATGTATTATGAAGTAGCTCAAGACGGTACCTGCGTCAATTTGCATAGGCTGCAAAGGAACAAGTTAAGGTTTATTCCATGCCGAAAAGTGAAGAAAGTGTTTTTATTTTCTTCTCTTTTCAGAGTGGAATAAACCTTTACTTGTTCCTTATTATGTGTTGAAGAAAGCAAATAAAAAGCTAAAATGAAGTGGCCAAAACAACTTACTTAAACAAGAAACATATAGGGAGAAGGCAAGTACCGTAGCTTAAAAAAGGAATGGTAATGAAAACCTATTGTGAAGGAAACATCTTATTACATTGGAGACTTTTTTTTTCAGTAAAGCATTAAAGGATGAAATGTCTCTCAAGATAATGGGAAACTTACGCAGATACTTTAGATATTTAAAAAAGAAACCATTTGCTCAACCTGAAACATGTCATCAAAGTTCTATATAAAATAAAAGCATAGAAGAGTCAGGCATTTAAGATAAAAGCTCTTAAGCCTCAAGGCCCGATTCTAGCAGTCATATTTAAGGAAGAAAGAGTGGTTATTCATAGGTCTTCTCACAGTATTTGGCAAATTTCTTCCATGCCACAGGAATCTGTATTAAGATTACTGCCTTCTAATTCCCTCCTATTGCTTTACATTTCATCTTTTAGCTTTTAGTACATTGTAAATCAAGTTGAAAATTTTATTATAAGTTAGGAGTAATTTTTATTTTATAAAAAATGCCAGCAGCCCTACAGTATCACCCTGCAACTCACAACTGACGTTGGTGGTGGTGGAGGAGAGAGCCCATTACCTGTAAAGCATTTGTGTCCAGAAAAGTACTATATAAGTATAAAAACTATTTTATAAACTAAATTTTCTCCTTTGTATGGGGATTGTAATTGGTATTGGCTCTGTGCTGGTTCCTTTATTTCAGAACTCCCCTCACTCAGTTGTGATAGTTTAAATATGACCAATTTGATACTTGGGAGTGGTTCATACATTGTCATTCCCACCATCAAAAATCTATTCCCTATTAAAAAAATAGTCAGAAATTACATAAATGTCAAATACATTTCTGTACGTTTAATTTATTGGAAATAAGATACTTGATGCTATTTTTTAAACCAAGGAGTGCAGAAAAATGGCTATCCCAGCAAGCAGATCAATTATGGCGATTACAAGCCCAGCCAGAATAAAACAGGAAATAACATGTCATCAAGACCAGGACTAGGGCAACTATCTAGATTCTTGTAAAGTAGTAAAGATTGCAGATGACAGGAGGAAACACTGTAGATGTAGTAAAGGAAAATCAAAACTAGACAATATAAAAGACTGGGTAAATACCTGGCAGATATTTAATGCAGACATGGGCAAAGCAGTTTATGCATGAAGCAAAAACAAATGATAAAAATAAGGTGTAAAACACTGAGCTTGAAATAGCTACTAATGAAAAGATTTAAGTGCTCATGTTCACATATTTCTAGAAATGATAGAGAAGAAATGAAAAAGTATAGTGTAAAAGGTGGATTTTGGCAAAACATTGTACAGTATATTGCATATAATTTTCAGCATGTTACCAAATATATTCCTGTAGTTAAATCATGTCAGAGAAGAGCCACCAGTTGTACTCTCAGACTTAAAGATGTTGTACTCTGAATAGCAAAATGAATTGAATATTTATAGTCGAGCAGAGTTGATCCGTAACAAGTATTCAAAATACGTAAAGGCACTGACCAGGTTAACTCTACCAGGACTTATTCAGAATCAACAGCAAAGCAAAAAGAGGACAAAAGAGGAAACTAAGGGGCACTAATAACACTAGGCACTTTTACACAAATGGTTGCGGGAGTCTGGAACAAAATGCCCAGCTATGTTGTTGAACTGAATCTCATTATTTCTTTTGAGAAATTGCTGGATGAGTGGCTGTGATTCTCAGATTATTCAACTACTAACATCCAAACAAGACTGGCAGGACCCAATTACTTCCTCTCATTTCCAACCTTATGTTCATAACATTGGGTTTTATGGGAGGGAACATTTAAAGGGGGAGTTAAATTAAGGTAGAGAACAGATACAAAGATATGTGCTAAATGTATATATAAACGGGGTCATCATCAGTCCCCTCTCGCAATTCAATGCATTTCTCTGCAAACGACAAAACAGTGAAAAATGAATCTGAACATCCTGCACGATCTAGATATACCGTGTAACATGGGGAACCACTGGCATTTCCAGCTATTAATTCTGCACTGTACCACACTACACAAGTCAAAATTCAGGATTTATAGACTGTAGAATCATGTATAAAAACCTTGTTCAAACAATTTTCATGTGTTAGTGACCGACATGGATCTCAAACTTTCCTAACAGCTTTCTCATCTACTGGCTGGTGCTTGGTAGCAACTCTACAAATTTCCAGACTTAACACCTTTCTCAAAATGTACAATACACACAAACGTCACCCCTGTTTAGCAAACTAGCACACACATGGTGAACAAAAGAAACAATCAGGGCTCTGATGTGTCAGGGCTGGTCTTCCTCCAAGAACACTATAATGGTGATCCTCTATTGTCAAACACCCATGACGACTCACAGACTTCACGTCAAGTGCAAAGTAACCCAATCCAAACCAGAACCAAATCATGAAGTATGAATTGCCTGAGGCAGGAAATTTTAAAGTTCAGTACTCCAATGTCTTTCAAAAGGCATAGGTCACACAGATCAAAACCCAACAGGAAAGACCACAGGCCATAGGTTTTTAAACATTCTTCCTTCACAACATATTCAATACTAAAAAGGGTAACACAAAAGTACTGTATGTGCAGCAATGCCATATCAGATCAACAGATGCCTGCGGGCCCTCTTACGTTCCCTTTCACAGTTGTCTTAAAAACCCAACCTGAGGTGTCATTACAAAGAGCAACAGGTAGTGTGCAGTGCCATCCAGGAATTCTCCATTATTCTCTTTTTTAATTCATAGCCTGTTTTCGCAATTGCAAAAAAACAATTCAAACTCCTCTCTCCCAAGGTGCATTCCACAATTTCCCCATGTTAAAAAAGGCATTGATCTAAAGTTACTATTATCAATGATAAGCCACACATAAAGCAGGTCAAAACTACTACCATCACACCTTTGACGACAGCCTTAAAACTTGAAAAATCTAGGACAGCTAACGGCAATAATCATAAAGTAGCCCATAATATAGATTGCGTTTTATTTAACAAGTGTACAAGGACAACATGGAAACTAGTTCTTTCTCATTTACATCCTTCAGCTTCAGAAGGCAAAAGCAGAAACTGCAAATGTAAAAGTATGATTTTTTGTGTGTTGTACTGTTTCTCCATACCCACTCTAGGATCAGCACTTCCCCATGCAACTCAAGGATACACTCCACTGCTCTTGCAGAAGGCCTGGGATCTGCTGCATCACACAACCAGGAAGGACACTCTACACTTTCTCTTTTTTATTTTTTAATAATCTTTCATATATATATTTTTATATGTATATATAAACAAACAGACCACTCCCATTTCCCTCACCCACCCTGACAGCCCCCCCACCCAACACACACCCTCCCCACGCATCTCCCAACAGCAACAATAATTAGAATAAATTATTTCTTCCTCCACAAGTAACTACATATGAAGGTTTACTTACAGTGCAAAGCCAACGCACACAGCAAGCAGCAAAGAACCACTGTGAACGCTGTTTACGGAAACCAGAGAGTGAGTGACACTGGTACAATGAGGGTAAACCCAAAAGCAACAGCATGGCTCCTGGCGCACACCTTTCTGCTCTTTCAACTCTCCGCAACTGACCACCTCCTGCTTGCCCTTGACAGAAGCAGGGAAAATCAGGCTGAATTCACACTCAGCAGCCTTGGTAAAGCTGACAAAAACACTGAAGGATTTCAGGTTGGTCTTAAACCAAGTGCATCTGGCAAAGTTATTGTACTCCACAACTCTGAAACAGAGACAGGAGCCTTGTAGTGAAGACTCACTCCAGTGACATTAAGTAAAATTTAGTTGACTTCCATTTTGTGCATAATTTGGTCTTGAAGTACTGTGATGCAATTAAAGAACTCCATTAAGAATGTAAAGTGCAATGATAAAAAAAACATGATATAATTACAGGCCCATACAGTTGTGACCTTTAGTGGATCTGTAGTCATATTTAAAAAATACAGCAAGAAAGGTTAACTTGCTTTCACTGTATATTTTTATCAGCTTGACCAAGAAGGAAACAGAAATTAACCGAATGTAGGTTTCAGTAACACTGATCAGTGGGATGTCACTGAGATGCAAACACGTCTCAGTGTTCACTGCCACAGTCCTCTTATCTTTATTGCGCGTTTAATAACAGAATGTGTTTAAAAAAAGTAGACATAAAAACTAAAACATTCATAATGATAAATAACAGTAGAATTGAAAAATAATAAAATCCCAGAATTGGCTGTTGGGGTATGCTGCTTTTTACCACCAATCATGAGGAGGGCAGGAGTCATAACGGTATGAAGAAAATAAAAAATCAAAAACAAAAGGTCTCTTACGGGTCACAATACCCTTTACCTTTTCAACCTTGTCCCACTACTTCCCATGCAGGTACACCAATCATATAAAATATTAAGAAGGCGCACTTTCATGCCCATTGTCCCTCACCCACAAAGACACGTTTGATTACTGACAGTATAATTAACAGTCTTGAGGACTCTCTACACACATGCCCCAGCTGCTGTGGCCAGCGTGTCAGTATGAGCAGCGCAACTCTCAGATCTGTCAAGCACACTTCCTCCCTCTGCACCTTCAAGACCTGATTCCCCCAGCATGCTTTGCAACTGTAGCAAATACAGAATATAAAAAGGGACTTTTTACTTTAACAACCAGAAAAAAAAATCTCTAGATAGGCAATCCAAATAAACCTCTCATCCCCTCCCACCCCACCACATTTAAAAAGTTTTTCTGTCATCCACCATAACCATCCCCCCTACCACCACCCTCTCAAATTTCTGTACTCTACACCAACACTGCTGGTTCTGTGACTTGACAGTCTGTCAGATTGCTGTTCTTACTACTGGTGTAGTTACTGGTGAAATCAGGGTCAGGATACCCAACTCTGGCTATGCGCCACAGGCCGCCTGTGTCACAAGGGAACCTCCAGGAGCTTTTTATGCAGGTACTGTTTGACTTCCTCGATGCCATTCAGTTTCTCCAGCTCATGGTACGGCAGCTGCAGGAGACAAACAGTGCCATCAGACCAGAGTCATTGCTACCCAGAGCCACACAAAACAATTATGATAACTGCATTTACCTGGAGGGAGTCAGAATGACACTCACTGAGCTGACTAAAACAGAACATTTAAAGGGGAGGAGGAATGGGTCACACACCTGTAGAATGATGTAGCCCAGCAGCTGGAGGTGCCGGTCCCTCATTGCTCGTGAGCCCACTAGCACGTCTGAGTTGTGACAGTAATGCCACTTGTCATTGACTGACATAATCACCCTAACCAGAAAGAGAAAGCAACAGAGTGAGCTGCTTTGGAGACGCACACATTTCTCCTCTCCATCCTATGAGGGGGAAAATAAGATCAATTAGATACTTGGCAATATTGCAATCAAACCACTTATTAATGTTTCTGATCTTGTAAGTTTTGTAAGAACATGCTACTTAGCAAATGGAAACAGTTCATATCCTACCTTACCTGGAATTGACAGGGCTAAATCAAAAATCATATTTCTGCCCCCAGGGTGTGGTAGTAAATGTATCCATTTAATAATATATACATCCAAGAAGGCTCCACAGCCGAAACGTTGTTTCCTTTCTCCTCTTTTCAACATGGAATAAAACTTTACTTGTTCCTTGCCTACGCATACTGACGCAGCAACCTAACTGAACTATTTAATTATATTGTAGATTTCTCAGCGTCTTGTATAGAAAATACTGAAATCTGCCGATTTTGTTTTTTGGTCAAGCCAGACATTGCAAACTTGTAAATTTAACCATTTGCTCATAATTTAAATGGCCTAGAATCAATTTTGTCAAACTTGGACAGATAGGCATCTTTGTTCCTTTCTGATGTGCTTTTATCCATTAATTAAAAATACTTAAATTCAGCTGCTTTCCCTCCCTTGTGCATATACATTTCTAAATCTGAATACATTTCTAGTTTTTAGATTTAACAGGTGTAAACTGTGGGGCACTCACATACTTTGGCCTCTTAACAGGTTAATTAAGAGATTCATGTTTTAAATTAAAAAGATATATTTATAGATAAGGTGTAAGATAACCTCTCATTTGTTGTATTTTCTTATTCTGTGTGCAGCAAAAACAAATGGCAGTGAGAAGGGTTTTTTGTAAATAGTAAAAACGTTCTAATAGATATCTTTTGACAGAACTCATTCCAAAAGACACCTGCATGAATACTAGTCTAGGTCAGAAGCAAACAGCACTGTTAAAAACAGAAAAGGAATGCAATGGAAAGCATTCAATCCACTAAGTCAGATATGCAAGACAGTGTGGATAAGCCAGGAGCTGTCAAGTGGCAGACCCAGAGGACAAGATCAAATGGCATCATCTCATTGATATACTTCATTGACCAACATCTTCACCAGGAGACCAGTACTAGGGATCACAGCAGGAACATCTCAGAGTTGTCATAAAGGAAGTGTCAACACTTGAGTTCAAGGGCTTGCTCACCTCTTGAACTGATGTGGGTGAGGGTCCCCGGAGCCCCTCTCTGCCTCCTGTCTTCCATGCAGTTGCAGAGGAGAGGATGGCACAACAGCCCCCTCACCACCCTCAGGGTATGAGACTCCCTCGTAGAAAGTAGGAAGATCACAGTCAGGACCTGGAGCCACTCCCCCTACTGTCCCCTCATCGTCCAGGATCTTCCCGATTGGGAACTGGAAGAGGGAAGTGGAAGACAGGACTGAGGAGCACTCAGTACCTCCTGTACCACCAGCCCCAGGGGCTCCAGCCTGGGCCAGGCAGTCCGAGGGGCTGCTGAGGGTGGAGCTGTCCTGACTCTCCAGGGACTGCTCCTTGGCCAAACTGGCATAGTAATCAGAAGTGGGGTAGTAGGGGTTGTAGTCCAGCGGGTTCCCCCCATTGGGCCCTCCTCTCTGGGCAGCAGGGGCAGGGGGGGGCTGGGGGCGCATGCGGTGTGAAAGGAAAGCCGCTTCTGTTGACACCAGGTCCTCAGCCCCTCTCTTCTCTGTGCCATCTTCCAAAGGGGAGAAGGGCGAGAACTTCTGGAAGTCAGAGGTCAGGGTTGCCACTGATGACTGGCCCTCAGGTGGCTTTGGGGCCACAGAAACTGTAGGGGTGCATGACGTGCCCATGCTCACTGCACCCCCTCCCCCAGACTTGATTGGAAGCACGCTGCCCGTGCTGTCAATCCACAGGAGGAAATCTGTGGAAAAAATGCAGGAACTTTTCAGAAATTAGGCAGTATGTCTGAAAGGGAAATTTATAGTCTTGGCAGAATTCAGATTCACAGAGCAAAAGAGGCAAAAACAGTTTGCTTTTAGTTAATGTGATTGTCTTAATTTATTTCAATAAAAATCAAGTTTATTAAAGTTTTTTGCCAATCTCCTGAATTTACTTTTCTCTGTACAGCAAATAATCTGCATATAAAATGTTAAATTTGTCAATACAGCTTATAGCTAAAATTGCCTGGAACCCACTGTGAAACTTTTACAGAATACATTATGCAGTACACAGAAAACGTAACTTGCAAAGCCTACAAAGGAAAGTCTTAATGAAATTCACTTAAGATATTCAAATCTTAAAATTAAATAATGCTAAAAGACTTTACTCACTGACTCACTGGGCAGCTGGTTCCAAAAAAGAAATTAAGCTTTGAAATACAATGGTTTACCATGTACTAGCTCTTTTCTGTTTGTATTTAATTACTGATTTTTGAGGTGTTGGGTGATCCCCTCCCTCAAACGCAAGCTCACAAATGCGAGGGGAGGAGCAGCCTCAGCCTGGAGCCTCTACCTGTGTAGTACCCTGGGGCCAGCACCTCATCCTGCTTGTAGCTCTGCTCCCCGAGCAGCTGCCTGAGAGCCTCTGCCACCAGGCCCTTGTAGCTGAAAGAGAGAGCACAAGCCAGTCAGCTGAACGCAGCTTTCATGGACTTGAAAAACATTAGTACTTTCCCTTGTGTCTTGTTCATTATTCATTTACCATCACATTCATTTTAAATCTGCTACAAACATTGCAGAGTGGAAAACACTTCTTGAACATTGCTATTAACCTCCATTTTCTTGTTAGTTATCAAGCATCCATGCAAAAACAAGCTGAAAATTCCAGGGAATGCCAATGACTCCCTCTTTGTTCCTCAAGTTCTTCCCTAAAGAGCCATGACAGGAATGACATTAATTAACAAACCACCGCACTGCAGGCAACCCAAAGGTAAGCATACACTGAAATTCAACCCACTGTCAGCAACCCAGCTAACAACTACTGACTGAGTACTAACAGGCCAGTTTCTTCAAAGACTGGAGAGCAGTGCAACAATCAGTAAATAGCAGCCACAGTACAGCTATGGGGTGGATCAACACAACCAAGCAATGTAGATGAACTGTGCAAACTGTTAACAGGAGATCTCTCTACTGCCTGGCACTGATTAACTGTATGGGAGCATGAGCTCAAGATGCCAACATCTGTATAAACAAAGGTCCCCTATATCAAATACTATTTTACTCAACTATAAAGTAATCTTTATACACTTTCTGTAACACAGTACTGTTTGTATGACATATTATACAAATTTAAACTTTATTATACTATTGTACTCTCAATTTTTTTCTTTCAATAATTTCAATACCATATACTGTAAAGATACATGAAAATAACACATGGGTGTTCTATTTTTTCATTCCTTGAAGTTAACTGAGAACAAATTATAACACACTTATTAAAATGAGAACAATCAAGACCTGGAGATGACCCATTTATACAGCAAAGCATTTACAAGGGCAATTTGAGAGGACCAACTTGCTAGAGGGTATAATAGCAACATCCCAACAGGAATTAGAGCCTTTGACCCTCCAATTCAGAGTCCAGAGCCCTAATCACTAGTCTTCACTGCTGCCTAATCCTCTCTCACAACATGAGACCAACCAGTGGTGGTTCAATACATTGCTTGCTCCAGGTTGCAATAAAATGGGCTCACT